AGCCTGTGCCGGTGTCACTCCCTAGACGACCTCCTAACCACCCCCCTACCCCCACCAGATCTGAGCCAGTCCCCCGTCTACTCCTTCCGCAAATGCCAGGACTGTTCCTCTGGATTCAGCCTGCAGGAAGGGAACCTAACGATCTCCCTCTTGGGCAGACTCGGTGGGGCCTGGGTCCCCTCTTAGCCCAAGCTCAGTTCCTGACATTCGTTTTTCGTTACTCCTAAGGATTTAGTCCAGGTTTTGGTGTGAGATGTGTTGGAGCCGCAATGCTCCCACAAGACCATCGTCACCTCCACGTCCCCAACACAAACATGGCCGACTCACAGAAGCTTCGAGCAGAGGCTGCTGCACTGGCCCAGTGTGACTGTGGACGGTGACCCTGCCCCCTGCCAGACAGACACCGTCACACCATGCTCTCTGAACAGGGCGTCCTGGGCACACCTGCGTGTTTATGATATCACAGCCTGGCAAACGTGACCTTCTGAAACCTGACACAGGTCCTGACAGCCCCTGAATCATTATTTCATCCTGTGTCCTGCTTGGGGATGCGCACAGGTTACGCTTCTGCGTTCTCTGGTCACAGTAGAAGCAGGAGACACCTACCCTGCTGGGAGACAGGACCCACTCCACTTCCTTCCTAGTCAACAGTCCAGGCAAGACTGAGGATCACGGGCTCACTCGGCCCAGGTCTGAGAAACAACAAAGGCCCGGTTGCCGTGGCAATGATGGAGCCCAAGGCGCCTCATAAAGCCAGGGCCGGCCCCACCCTGGGGCCCCCACAGCCAACGGGGGGCAGGGCGGGTCCAGCTACAGACACCCTGTAGAGAAGGCCCGGGGCCCCCACAGCCAGCTGGGGACACCCTGCACAGAAGGCCCCCGTGGCCGGGGCGGGACCAACTTCTGGTCTGGGTCAGTCCTACATCCAGCCTGACTACCTGGGCTTCCGCATCCTCAACACGTACCCCCTTTGGCCCAACACGCCATGCGGAGCGATCTTCAGGAGCAAAGCGTCCCTGGGGATGACAGGGACGCTGATCCTGGCAGCCTTGTCTGACCACAGGCGGGCGAGAGGAGACGGGGCCCAGGATGAGGGGCTGCAGGGAATGAGGGCGCTGGAGGCCGGTGGCCGGGCGGGGGAGGGGAGCGTGGCTGCCCCCTCTGGGCCCTGTACACCAGCATCCGCCTGCGGGCAGCCCCGGGCTGGCGCCCGCACAGCGCCGCGTGCTAACCTCCACCTGGAACCACATCCCAGGGACTCCCGTGCCCAGGCCTGCCGGCCACCACTGTCCCTAGACAACCTCCTAACCACCCCCCCCACCAGATCTGAGCCAGGCCCCCGTCCACTCCTTCTGCAAATGCCGGGACTGGTCCTCCGGATTCAGGCCACAGGAAGGGAACCTGACGATCTCCCTCTTGGGCAGACTCGGTGGGGCCTGGGTCCCTTCTTAGCCCAAGCTCAGTTCCTGACGTTCGTTTTTCGTCATTCCTAAGGGTTTAGTCCAGGTTTTGGTGTGAGACATGTTGGAGCTGCAATGCTCCCACAGTGCTCCCCCGGGCCAGGCCAACGTGCCACCAGAGACCCAGGGCAGACGACAGGCTGCTTGACCAGGGTCTCAGACCCCCAAGAGCCCAGCCATCGGCACAGCAGAGGCCGTGGATGGTGGGAGATGCCAGTAACTGAACACAGTTCAAGTTCAGGGCAGGGCACCCACCAGAGTGCAGGCCTCCCACAGTGCACTCACTTTTGAGCCGCCACGTCTGACACGGCATGTGAGTGTTGGCTGTGAGGCCACCACTCCCACTGGCAGAGCTCAAGCTGCGGCAAAGTTTAGTCTTTACAGCGCTTGAAAGTGCTTTTCGGTAAATGAAGACGAGCAAGGTGTCGGCCTTCTGCATAGAACGGGCTTCCCCAGATACGCCTGTGTGCAGGCTGCTGGCCCCTCGCTGGGGTTTTTTCTGGGGCCTGTGGCCTCAACCCCTCCACTCGGCAGACCCTGAAAGAGGCACCAGGGAGTGGGGCAGGGGAGGCACTACCCCAGGGGTCCCCCGAGTCTGCAGGTGGTCGGGCCTCCTGGCTGACCTGGAGCCACGGTGACCTCAGCCACTCACACCTATGAGAAATGTGCCTCCAAAAGAGACATCTTCGCTCCAAGAGAAAAACTCCAGAAGCTACAACACTAAGAAACAGACCTAAACCCAGAGCCATAACCCCCGTCCGGGACAACCAGGACTTTTCCCATGCACAACGCATGCCCTGAACTTCTAATGGGACAGGCGTGCTGTGGGCCCCACTCTGCAACCCACTCTTGTCCACCCTGCTGCAGCCCAGTGTCCCCTTCCCTCAACACAGACTCGCCCCTATTTTTAGGGCGCACAGAGCACTCCACCGAGTGTGATCCTCAACCTGCCTGACAGGAAGGTCATTCACAAGCTCTGTTACGGGCCCGCTGCAATCCCGCTGCGCACACACCTAAGCAGCCAACCCCCAAAGGGTCAGCACTGGGGCTGGGGGCAGGGATGGCGGAGGAGTGAGGTGGAGTGCGGGACAGGTAGGCGCTGGCACTCACGTGCACACACACAGGCACCAACACACACACGCCAACACATGTGCTCACACGTGTACGGACATTGACTCACACACATGCTCACACACGTGCTCACACATGCACTAGCACAATGTGCATGTGCACGCCCGTGCACCAGAATAAACATGTGCACACGCGTGCTCACACATGCTCACGTGTCACACGTACTCATGTGCACACAGATGCACATACGAGACTGCACAAGCGTGCAACACTCACACATGTGCACACTCTCCACCTCACTGGTCTTGTTTGGAGTGTGGCTTCCCACAGAAAAGGCAGCAGGATGGACCCCCATCACCTGGCACTGTCTGCCCACACAGCCCCTTCCTGGAGAGTCAACAGCATGGTTGAGGTGCTGTGGTGCTCCCATGCATCCGTGGCTGACACGTGGCCACTGTGGCTCTGAGGGACCCTCCCCCTCTCAGGCCACCTGCCCCCAGTTATTCTGACCACCAAGAGCACCTGTGGGTTCTGACCTGGATCCTGCCAGCTTCCTGGGGCAGCAAGCCCAGGGAGGCGCCCCAAGCCCCAGGTCCCCCCTTCACGGCTGTGTGTGACACACCCAGGAAGGAGCAGCCTGACCGTGGGGTCTGTCCTCCTGGGGACTTGCTCCTTTGCTGGCACCTGCCACGGCTTCCTGACGCCTCAGCTATGCAATGTTTTGCTCCCCTTCTCCTGAGGTTCCCAAGGCGCCCTACCAGTGCAGCAGGCAGTGGCCAGCAGGGCTGGCCCACCCCATGGCACTTGTGGGCCGGGGGACGTCGTGCTGTCCACTGCCTCCGTCACACATACCCCCTTCCCCCAGGATTCACTCTGCCTTGTGAGGTGACAGAAGCGCCAATCTTGTTCTGTTTGAATATTTTGAAGTTTATTTATTTTGAGAGAGAAAGAAGTGTGCGCATGTGCGTACAAGTAGGGGAGGAGCAGAGGGGGAAAGAGAGACTCCCAAGCAGGCTCCGCACTGTCAGCACAGAGCTCTACACGGGGCTTGAACCCACAAACCGGGAGATCATGACCAGAGCCAAGATCAAGAGTGGGACGCTTAAACGACCGAGCCGCCCAGGCGCCCTTCCAATTCTGTTTTCAAAAAGGAAGCCACCTGGAAGATGTGCAGGGTGGGTAAGAGAGACACACTGCGGGCGGAGAACGGGGCCAGACACAGAGTAAACGCGAGAGGGTGAGCAGCCGGAACGGACGCTGCTGACCTCCTGTGACAAAGGTTCTTGCTGAAAAGTCACTTGGAAGTGGACACTTACAGGGGCGCCTGGGGGGCTCAGGGTGGTTGAGCATCCGACTGCGGCTCAGGTCATGATCCCACGGTTTGTAAGTTCCAGCCCCACGTCGGGCTCTGTGCTGGCAGCTCGGAGCCCGGAGCTGCTTCCGTTTCTGCGTCTCCCTCTCTCTTGGCCCCTCCCTCTCTTGTGCTCTCTCTCAAATATAAACGTTGAAGAAAATTAAGAAAACAACAAAGAAGTGGACACCTACGGGCTGTAAACAATTACATGCAATCGCTCTGTATTTTATTGAGATCTCTACGTTTTGCAAATGTAAACAGGCATCCAGTAAACACATCCAGATTAAAAAAGTCTACGGACACAGCACACCACTGTCGCCAGGGGGCAGTGTCAGCTTCCAGCAGAAGGCAGGCCCCGCCCAGCACAGAGCCTGTCCCAGGCCAGGAGGGTGCGGCCCCGCCACGACCTGCTTCGGGAATGTGGGGACGGCGGGGAGGGCGGGCAGGGCAAACGGCACACAGGACCCCCAACGTGGGCATCTCTTGCCTCCCAAGGGGTGCTCGGGAAGGATGCTGGGGCAGGACGGCGTGTCCCGGCCAGCCACAGGGAGGAGCTTTACAGACCCCTCAAAGCTCAAGAGACAAAGCACAACGGCTCGACCCCACCCGGTCACACACCTGTATGTGTGCTGTCTGCTGTCCAGCATTCACGGGGCTACCCACAGAAACACGGGATCCGCGTGTGGCTG